CCTGAGACCGGAAGAACTAGATTGTTCCTGGCTACCATGACCAACTACTCTGAAAGGGGTCTCAATAGAACGTCTTGATAAAGTGGGAGTGAAATGTGAAACAAAACTCAAAATCAAAAATAAGACAGGCTCTGGCATGATCTAGAGATTGATGGAACCCGACTATGACCCTTAGTCACCTTTCACACTTGGAACTGAACTCATCCCTGTGACTCAACTTTCAGCCAAACAATAGCCAAGTGTATAAGGTGAACCATAACACCAGGGAGGTACACAGTCCTTAGAACAATAAACCATTCAAGATCAAAGAACAGCATTTGCCTTGCAATAAGACTCAGAAGCATAGGAAAGGAGAACTAAGGAAAATGGTTAACATAGGGAAGAAGTGGGAAGAAATGTTGTTCCATTGTGGGGATTACAATCAATGTCACTAAACAAAATGTGTATGAATTGTTGAAGAGAAAACCACTTTGTTCTGTAAACTTGCGCTCAGATCAAAACAAAAGTTAAAAAAAAAAAAAAAGGATAACAGTTTGGAGTCCTAGTTCTGTCACTCTCCAGACAATTCTCAGTAATTCTTGCTCCAAAAGGCTATATGCTGTGCCATTTCCTTTCATTCTTAAAGATTCAATAAATCATAACTTTAATGAGTTTTTAAAATTATTATTTGGCTCATTGAATAGATTTCATTTTTTATGATACTTTGCACTGCAACCAAGCTTCTAAAATAAGTAGTTTTTCCCTTAATTTGCATTGTTCTCAAAAAGTTCCAGATAAATAATAATATATTTTGACAGTACTCTCTTCAGAAATATGGAAAAATGTTGTCCAGAATAAAATCTAGAGTCTTTATCATAGTCTGAAAGGCATTCCAGCCCCGACTCTACTTGCCTTTCTGACTTCATGTCTGGTCCTTCTGCTTACTCCAGTCTAATCACAACATCCTCCCCACATTTCTTGAAGAGTCCACCTCAGGACTTTTGAATTCACGTTTCATCAACTTTGTATTTTCTTCTCCTCCAATCCACAATAGTATGCACCCCCTCTTCAGATGGGTCTCTGTTCAAATGTCACCACATCAGCATTCTTTCCTAATCCTCCTGTCTACAATAGCGTGTCCATCACTGTGCACCCCCATACCCTGCTTTTAGGTTTCTCCATAGCCTTATCTCTAACAGATATAATATATATTTCACTTGTTTATTGTTTGCCACCCTACTAACATAAAAGCTCCACAAAAGCAGGCACCGTGCTATTTAGTGAGTTATCTCTGTCAACTAGTAAGGATTTGTGATAGCACTTAGCAGGCACTCAGAAAATTTGTTGAATTAAGTAATTAATATCATACATTTAGAGATGATCTTTGGATATTACTTTGAAGGTTTGTATGGATTATATCCCATTTAAAATGTTCAGTTATCTAGATGGGAAAAAAAATCCCTAATGATTAATAAGAATGTTGTGATGGTTATGTTTGTATGTCAACTTGGCTAGGCCTGGTTGAGTGGTTGGGCAACTAGATGTAGTATTCCCCATGATGAGACTGGTAATCAACTCCATGGTGGAATCTACTATGAGCAGCTGAGTAGCTGTCTTTGGATATGTGGTCTGCTTCCTGTATATAAGGAGAAGCTTTGAGACTGGTCTCTAGCCTATGGCACGCTTGGACCCTGCATGTAGCCGTGTCGTTGCTCAGCAGCCTGCTATGCTCTGCCGACCTTGGGACTTACAATGGACTTAAGTTAATGGCCTGCCATGTGGTTTGGTAACATTGGGACTATGCCTTTTTACTTGTCAGCCTTGGGGCTTCCAGACTCAGCAGCCTGCAGCTGTTTGAGTGAAGAAACGCCTCTAGCTCCAGTGGGCCGGGAGCAGGAGGCAGAGCTGGACCCCAAGGTTGAGGGGCTTTCACCCACCCCTAGAGCCTGGCACTTTGAACTTGGACTTAAAGCCTCCAAATTGTAAGAATAAACTCCTGTTTGTTAAGGCCATCCCATTTGTGGTATATTCCTGTCAGAGCAGGACTCAGTAAACAGAACAAATGTAAAATATTAGAACTGATCTGATCTAAAAATAAAGATTATTAGATCTAACAGACAATGCTTATAAACTATCTAGCATAGATTTATTTTAAGGGTTAGGAAACTGAGACCTGGTTATTTTAGCACACATGCCAGATAGCATGCAATTTTTTAATGACTGAGTCCTAACCTTATATGTATAGTATACTTCATTGTTATTTTACACAACTTACCTATCTCATACACTCACTGCCGGCGAGTGGGATCCAACTGATAGCAACCCCTCCTCGGGTTTCCGAGGCGGTGTCATTGTGGAAGTAGATTGCCTAATCTTCCTTCCAAAACTTACCTATAACTGTATTTAATTTCCTAGTAATTTTATTTTTCTTCAATTATATTTTTTCTTTACTTGTAACTTTACTATATGCTGTATAAAAGAAAATATGCTATTTTAGTATTTTATCTATTTTCTTTTTTTTAAATCACATAGTTATTTCATGCTGCTGGTTAATAAGGACATCTTCTTTGATATGCTTCTGCCTCTTTTGGAAATCACCACTTGGATGTCTCACAGTTACCACAAAATCAATATTTGCAAAATTTAACTCCTCATAGTTTAATTCAAATCTGATACTTCTGCTGTATTACTTTTAATAATTAGTTATAGTTACTTAGACTAGAAATTGGAGTTCATGGAGACGTCACAGTCTAATTTTACCTCTCCCTGTCACTTATCTCCAAGAAGTTGCCAAGTCCTATAGAACTTCCTTTTCTCCTGGTAGATCATGATTAGCAGAGGCAACTCTCCGCCACATGGTGACCATTACAGAAAGCTTGTAAGTCAGCTTATGATCAGAGAAACCATCCTGTAAGAAGCCAGTCAAATTCACCATTAATATCATGACTTACTAATAGATAATTTATAACTTCACTCAAGGAAGAAATAGGAGGGTAGGGAACACATCCATATAGCATTTAATAGAGTGCTTAAGGACATTGGGTGTGCCCAGTGAAATACATTGCCTATATGATTCCTTTCTTTTACAATACACTTTATTTTAGAACACATTTTCAGACTACATTTAATTATACTGTTACTATTTTCTTAACAGTAAATGGGAACACTTTCCTTTTTTAAACAAATTAGCTTTTTTGAAAGTCATATGTGTGCAACATCTTATCTTTTTTTGGAAAAACTGGGTAAATTATCTGCCTTTCAAAGCTATGTAAGTTAGCCGATCAGGCTACACTAAAGGAATGAAAAGAGTTAATGTGTCTTAAAGATACCTAATTTGCAACCATGCATCCATACAGATTACCTATAAGTGCTTGGAGAATTTGACACAATGAATTAGATAAAGCCCATTTTCATTTTCCTCATGTATGCAAGGTAAATAAATTCAAGACCTGTAATTGTTAAATAGAAGTATTTGAATGCCTCCTAGTGGCATATTATATGCTCTAATTAAGGAATTTTTAAAATAACAAATACACTAAATTGGACTTGTAAAATTTGTTGAAATGGTGTGTCTTTGTACCAAGAAAAGAAAAGTAGTAGTATTTGCTGAAAGGATACGGTAGATAAATGATTAAAACTTGTAAGTGCTAATGATAGCACCTTAAGTGGAATAAAAGTACATTGTCATATATAACACTGATTAAAAAGAGAACTGAAAAAAATATGTGTACACATACTCACATACCCATACAACATGCATAAATATATGACAAATATGAATATACTTTTAAGGAGACATTTTATGTTTTTTGGTCAGATCATTTTAATTATCGTTTAAAATTTAATAGAAGTATTTTGCATTTGATCAGACAAATATTGCTATTAGTAAGATATGAATTGCTCATTTTTTTCTTTTAAATTAAATGTGATTACCAGATATATGCTTGAATTTCTTTGTATAATAATAAATTAGAGAGAATGGTTTACAGAAAATTTGTAACTCATTTTTATGGTAGATTTTTTAAATTCTGATTTTTAAGTCAAATAAAATTATTTAACTGATAACCTGGAAATACAGAATATAGCAAAGGTTCAAAATGATGAAAAATGCTGATTTAATTATTACATTAATCACTACAGTATAGAAATAGAATTTAAAATGAAAAAAAAAATCATCTGGAAACAATTCTGATGAAGGTCAATAGAAGGGATTATAAAGGAGATATACTTTTGTTAAGCATTCAGAAATGCTTAATTAACAGCTTGCCACAACAGAACAATTAAATTGGCAATTACCTTTAATGTAGCAGCAATGTAATTGCAGCTGTTGTGATATAAAGCTAGGAAACAAAATGTTAATCTGGAATGAAGAGTTTAAATATGAAATTATGATATACTTGGCTTCCTGTAGTACAGCTGTCAAGCTTGGGCAGTTCGCTGGTCAATAGTGACATTCTATGTGTCGGTGAACATAGTCTCTTGATACCATAACCTGCAGTTCACACATTACTGAAGCTCCAACTGTCGAACATTCAAGTCCCCTGGTATTATTGCAGCTTCCAGACTCTCCTGACTGGCTCATGTTTCATTCTTTGGCAATTTGCCCTAATGATATCCCTCAGGAGCTTTCACCCTCTCTTCCTTTCCATATTTAATCATGGTATATTAATCTGAGTGATGCGCAAACTGTGCTGCACAAATTGTAATTTCCTGCAATTCCTTCTGAGATGCTCACCTAATTTTTCATTTTCACTTTGTTTGTTTGAAGTTTTAACCCCAAACTCTGTATTTTCAGAGGGCTGTAACTGTCTGTGTAAGATTTCCAAGAAGCTACTTTTGCTATTTATATGTTTCAGGGGGCCTTGCAACATAAGACGTCTATATGCAGAATTGGTTAAGATAATGTGATTTTTATCATTAAGTACATTGTTTTACAATTATCACTAATCTTTGATACTTTGAGCATGCCTCTTTGTAGGGTCAGCAGCTACTTATTGTTGTTATCCATTTACAAATTTTAGTTAACTGCCTGTCTCCACGGATCAGCTGCTCTGCTATACCCAATGTACTGGCAACACATATACATCCCAGTGCTTCCTCCACACCTGCTGGACTACTGCTGGTAAGCTGGCTTTTGCCAGAGTCCTTTAAATCTGAGTTTCATGATTAGGAAAAAAAAAAAATCACTTATATGTAGATTAGGCAAGCATCATGTTTATATGAAAGAAATCACGGAAACTTGACTTTGACATTAGTTATAAATGTTATAAGACGATTCTACGAACGACAGAGTATTTCTTTTCAAAAGTAGCAAAATTATATACTTGGCAAAGTTATAGTGCTTTAGATTTTGTGAGTTTTTTTCCCCCTGCAGTCATTCAGATAATAAAACACATAAATAGAAGCAAATACAATCTTAGTTTGTGTTTATGGAAATTTTACAGAAGTTACGATATCACTTGTGGTTGTTGTTATGTGCCATCGAGTCGGCCCCGACTCATAGATGACCCAATATTCCAGCTGTCAGAATTTGTCTGGAATGTCTGCCAAATAGCACATTGTCTCTGCAGGCATACTCTGCTTTGCCTTTACCTCAGGCACACTTCCGTTTACCTCTCTTCCCTCAGTAACACACTAGACAGTGACAAAGGAGTTGCCTAGAGTGCAGGGATACCTTGAATTTCTGGATTAAGTCAGTCTCAGATTTAAGCCACTTTGAAAAACAATTTTTTAAAGTTTTGGGAATAATTCTGAAAAATTTCTTGGTGTTAACAAACAACTCCCTGTGATCTCACCCAATCTGAATTCAACCAGCCTCCAGGCCTTCCGTATTCTTTCCCCTGGAAGAATTTGTACACTTACAGTGAGGTAAGGCCATGCTAAGACTTCCTAACCTCAGCCTTGGGGTCTTCTTCTGGACTGAGGATAGGATGTTATTGCATAACCATCTTCTGTAGGCATAGATAATTCTTAAGAGATCTGATGGTTGTCCCCTGAAACCAGCTTAAATACACACTTATGCATCCGTGCATGTGCACCTATGCATGCAAGTGCGTGCGCGCAGACACACACACATACTCACACACATAGAAGGAAATAATTTAGACCTTAATGTTTTTGTTTATATCACAGCTAATATTATTATTATTATTTAAAAAGATCCTTTTTAAAATTATTTATTAAACTTTCTTATTTAATGAAAGGCCACTCATTTAAAATATTTAATGATGAAAATGATTTAAGTTCAAACATAGCTTTTAAGTTTTTGTGACTAGTCCTCTTCAAACTAAAGTGATTGTAATGACAACACACGTTTTTGGCAACAAACTGATCCTACCGATGTATTGTGTGTTTCCACAGCAGGGTAATTAGTATTGATAATGCTATGGAGTCAGTGCCTAGTGACCTACAACAGCTATTCTACCTTTTGAGAACTGTAAAAGAGAAACAGTTTGGCAGGAGGCTATAAGAATGTAGTTTATATTGTAACGCATCCCACACATAAGTCTAAGAGTAGAACTAGATCTGTAAATAGGCGCCTTTAGTGTTCAAGTTTTTCTCTGACCAACATACCTAGAATATATTAACATACTTAAAGGCAAGAACTGCAGCATATTCATACTGATACATATCTTTGTGTGCAATCATTGAACATTAATTTAAAAAATATTTTTACAAAAGTATTTTAAAATATATTGATATATATGATTTAAAAAATACATAGCAGTTAGTGGTTCAAGAGCTAACAGTTCTAATTATGAGGTTTAGAATAATCTGTTATCATATAAAATGTTAGTGTCATTAATATTTCTATGAAAATGTTCTGCTCTCTTAAGAGGTAATTCTCCTTTTCACCTCAGTTTTCTTTAATGAATTACAAATTTAATACTTTCTAAAAATATTGTTACTCAGAAACAGTACAGATAGTTCTGTACTAATTCTTGCAAAGCTGCAACATCATTCTGATGCTTTCTATCCCTTTCACAAATTCCTTTTTCTGCTCTTCCAGCTAAATGGAGGAAGCTTATTTTATGATTCAGTTCCTAGAATTTTCTCTCGTTTCTAACATCTGAACCAGGATGAATTCTAACAATCTCTATGCCTAACACCTCCTTGGTTCAAAGATTAGAGCAGTGACACACAAATAAGGAGTTACCTGAGACTTCCTGAACTTAAGGCCACAATGATAGACTCAACTTCTATCATGGAACCTGGGCAGTGTAGTAACACTACTTTTAGAAATAGCCATGTAAGGCTCCATTTTTCTTCTAGTCTCAAAAAAGTCAATGGACTACACTACTTCCTGAAGAAAAGTTAATCTTCCTTGTGCATTCTTGAGGTTAGAAACACATTGATTCATATGCAAAAGAGAGAAATAAATGACTAATTCTCCCTTCAGTTGCATGGTCTTTTCATGAAGAATATTTTTATATTCCACTTCAAAAACATCATCAGAAACATATGGTAGGAGAAGATGAAGCTTTATTAACTCTCCAGATTGATTGAGACTTTCTAAATCCTGTGGTAATCCTGGGTCCTGAAAGTATTTTTACTTTTGCTTCTGGTAGCTTTGGTGTGGTGTAGACTGCAGAGAGTCATAATGCCATCTTGTGACCATGATGGATATCACATCTTGGTCCACAGATATTTATTCATTTATTGGCTCATTCATCTGTCAAATATTTTAATGAACACATTATTTGCCAGACTATGAGTATATAATAGAATTAATAAGACTTAGTTCTTGCCCTTGAGGAGTTTACATTCACAAATAGGAGGAAACACACACACACACACAAAGTACTACAGTCTTACAGGTTCCATAGCAGAGGTATACAAAAGGACCACTGGTAGGAACATAGAGGAAGAAGTGGCTTATACTTCCTAGTTGGTTAAGAAAGGCTACAAGAAGGAAATGACACCATCTGCTTTTTTCCCTTAATGGATCAGTGTAAGAGTAATTTAGCGAGTCTGTGATGTTGCCAGGTACTCAATCTGAGTCTGTAAACACATTGGAGGTAATGTGATTCTCTCACTGCTTTTGAGTCCAATCCAACTCATAGCAACCCCTCGGGTTTCTGAGGCAGTATCACTACGGAAGTAGATTGCCCAACCTTACTTCTGAGGAGTGGCTGGTGGGTTTGAACCACCAGCCTTCTTGTTAACAGTCAAATGCCTTAGGCACTGTGCCACCAGGGCTCACAATGTGACTCTAGAACCAGTAAAAGTATAATTGTTCATGGAATGGTTGAGGAATTCTTTTTATTTAGACTATCTATATGGATCTTTTTCCTATGAAAGGAGAAAGGAGTAGAATTAACTTCTAAGAGAGTAGGTTTTTTTTTTTTTTTTTTAAATAATTATGTCCTATACCCTAAGTTAGTAGAGTGCTGTTATAGTCTACCTCATGGGTGGTCTCTTTGTAAGAGAACCAAAAAAGAAAAAAGAGGCTATCACAGAGTAATTATTTTAAGTAAAGATTAATTGCTACCAAAAAGGAGAAGCAGTCATAATAGAGCCTTCTGTATCCCATCTCTGCAAAATTACTTCATTGACAGAAAGATCTATGACAGTTTTGCACATGGATGATAAAACATCTGTGTTGCCAAGGATCTCTTCCTGAGATATTAATGCCATAATCTAATTAGGAAATTTCAGCAAGAGTTGCAAAATTACTTTTCAGGAGATTTGGCTGATAGTGTATTACGATGCACACAATCCAGTTTTCATGAGAAACAACTTTTCAATTAAGTCTGTATTCTGCAGACCATCATAATTATTTTAGGAAATGATGCTCTTGACTAATAATGTTTGCAGTTCTAGCATGCACATGTTTTATCTTTTGTTAGGAATCAGTGAGGAAAAAGCCCATAGAAATACCAGTGATCCCATAATAAAAAGTTTCAAGATGCTTTATTACTAAGATCTGTATAGAAATTCTTTATTGATTTTTTAATTCTAGTTTATTTAACAATTTGTTTATATTTTAAAAGATGACTAGTTTTCATAAAGTTTGAAAAGTATTATCTTAGATGTCTTTCATAGGACTTCAACATTTTAGGAAACTCTGACCTACCTGATAGCCCTCCAACATCTGTAAAGTAGTCATAATAATATTAATTTTAGAAGGCTTTTGAATATTCTGATTAACACTCATTTTATTAAAATAGTATTTGGAATTTAAGATACTGTGGACCTTTCTTATTGTAAATCTCATAGATACGATAACCTAGCCTGTGGTGAATTGGTAATTGACAGAGTAACTTTAATATTTTTATATTATTTTGGATGTGGGGAAGTCATGACATATTTAAGTTCTTAGGAGTCACTTGTTTTGTGAAAGTTGCCCAAGTTTAGTCATGGTTGCCCAGAATAGCTAATAACATGTATTTTATGTCTTCTATGGAATCCCAAAAGGAGTTCCAGGGATGTGAACTGGAGCTGGTACCAGCCTTCCTTTATTTAAGCAAAAGTGGAACAGTCTATATTTGTTAGTCATATTTTCTTTTGGAGGCAGAAAATCTGTTAGGTCTTAAATATATCAAAGCCGATAAATTGTTCTCAATTAACAGTCAAATCAAGTATCCAGAATATCTGATCACCAGCAGATGGCCTGTTGTATTAAACAACAACAACATAACAAAAAACAAAATTGGAAGGTACAAAGCCATAAAAGATAAAGACAGATAGGAATTAGAACTTAGTACTAGAATGATAAGAATGTATAGACTAAGGATGACTAAAGTAAGAACTCTAACTAGACTTTCTTTATTTGTGAAATTCTTGATGCATAGACTAGTATTTATCCATCTTTAAATAAATAGAGAACTATTTGAAGTAAATAAATAGAGAACTATTATTTTGAAAACTCTGAGTCTGTTGAGGTCCCTATTTTTTTTGGGGGGGCATAGTGCCCGAGGCATTTGACTGCTAATCAGAAGGCTGGCAGTTCAAACCCACCAGCTACTCCTTGGAAAGAAGGTTTGGCAATTTACTTTCATAGAGATACTGCCTCAGCAATCCAAGGAGGGGTTGCTATGAGTCGAATTGACTCAATGGCAGTGAGTTTGGGTTTTATTTTTTGGTTTTGGTTCTCAGAGGCAAAGTGGACATGCAAAAGTTTGGACAGCTCTGTTCTAATGATGACAATGATGTTTGTAAAGATTATGAAAATCTTTTGAAAAAGAGGGCTATATGTTTTTGTTAACAGAAGAGGGCTATTTTAAGTAGAGCACAAACACTTCTTTCTATAGAAGTTTTGCCAAAAGTGCTTTATTTTTAAATAGGCATTTATTCACATATCTTCTGTTACTTATACAGACATTTAGTCCATTCTTAGGTTTTCCTGTTAAATAATTTTTTTAAAATTTTAATATTTATTGTAATTTGGGTGAAAGTTTACAGAGCAAATTCACTTTCCATACAGCAGCTCACATACACTTTGTCTCATGACATTGACTGTAATTTCCCACAATGCAATAGCTCCCCTTCCACTTCCTCCCCATAGTTACCTCTTCCCTGTGTCCTTCCCTCCATGTACTCCTACTCTCTGAGCTGTCTCCCTCTGCATACACAATCTGTTCTCCCATGATTGTTCTTTCCAATGAGTGTTTCTCCTAATGTAAATGTTCCTCTCATATACCTGTCTTTTGTTTGGCTGGAAGCCACAGGAGTGGGTTCAATTCTGGATCTGAAGTGCAGCTAGGAGCCATAGTCTCGGGTCCCACCAGGCTCTCAGACCAGCAAACCTGGTCCCTTCCCCCCCCAAAATGATTTTGAGTTTTGTTCCACATTGTTCTCCCACTCTATCCAGGATCTCCTACAGAGATCTCCCTCCAAGTGGTTGACAGTGGTAGCTGGGCACCGTCTAGTTCTGGTCTCATAGTCATGTAGGTTGAGGATCACATGGTGTGCCCATCACTTGGACTAATTATTTCCATGAATCTTTGGTTTTCTTCATTCTTCTTTACTCTGGATGAGGAGAAACCCATCGTTGCATCTACATGGCCACTTGCAAGCTTTTAAGATCCTAGTCGCTACTCACCAAAGTAGGATGTGGGACAATGTTTTGTGTATGTTATGCCAATTGAACTTGATGTCCCCTGTGACGATGGTCCCAAGACCATAGGTCCAACTACTTGCTCTCTCTAGGTAGTTGGCTGTGGCCAAGAAGTGACTACAATCTTGTCCCTTGTCAACTCTACTGTATACCTGTGAATTCTTACAGAACATACAAATACACTTGTAGAAACATTGTCTGCTAGCACTATACATGGTCTAAATAATGTTTTGACTTTGAAATGTCAGTTGAATCATTTCCCTCTTATATATCACAATAAATGTTTCTGGAAATAATAGTAATTGTGATTTTTATGTTACAAGAACTATTAGCTGTCTGTATTCTCTGGTAGAATAGAAAGCCCATGAAGGCAGGTATTCTTTATTGTCTATGACTGAACCCAAGTTCTTGCTCAGAGCCTGGTATCTTGTATGTTCCAAATATATGTAGCAACTCTCACTGGGTTTCCGAGGCTGTAAATCTTTATGTGCGTAGATCACCCCACCTTCCTTCTGCAGAGCAGCTGGTGGGTTTGAACTGCTGACTTTCAGGTTAGGAGTCAAGTCCCTTATCCACTACACCACCAGAGCTCCTCATTTCCCTCTTATATATCACACTAACTATTTCTGAAAATAATAGTAATTCTGATTTTTATGTTATAACAACTATTTATTGTCTGCCTTCTCAGGTAGAATAGAAAGTCCATGAGGGCAGATACTCTTTATTGTCTATGATTGCCAAGGTCTGGCATCTTGTATGTTCCAAATAATAAGTTGAATTAATTAATTCAGGGTCACTCTTGAACTTATTTGAATGTTTTTATATTTACTGATTTATTTAAGTAATGAGAATGAAAGTAGGGTAAATCTAAACTTATGAAATTTAAGTAAAAGACAAGGTATGTGAGAGTTAAGATAGCACAGAGATAGAATGATGAGAGGAGCAGGGAGCGTGTTTCCCTTTGCATATCTAGTTCTGGGACAGTGTCTGGCACACAGCAGGACTCGATACATGTGTGGTGACTGACTGGAGGACAGGAAGTATGAAAGAATTAAAATGTATTAGGGAAATCATAGAGATAAGCACTTAATAGAGTAGTAAATATTTATGAAACGTGAATAAATTTGGTGATTATTTAGCATATATTTGTTATGAGGTATATGGAAAAGATTCAATTTAGACTATGGCCTACATGTGATATTCATAAATAAAAAAGTTTTTTAGGCATTACAGCTGTTGATTTAAAAAATGATTTTAATTTTAAATTTTTATATAAACCAACTTTAATCTGAGTATATTAAAGGCCTCTAAAATTAAATTAGATTTTTATATATTGAATAATTTTGAATATCTGTAATGTGCTATGCAAGAACTGTACACTTAATTTTAAGCATTCTGAAATACTTATACTGTTGTTTAAGTTTCAATGAATCATATGAATATATGAATATATGTTTTTAATTTAGTGCACCAATGCCATACCTGATTGGAATACACTCCAGCCTCATAGAGGTGAGTATCTTTCAGACATGATGCAGTAATAATTAACTCATAAAATAGTAGTTAAAAGTTTTATTTTGAAGGAAAATAAATGGGAATAGTACAAAGCAATGAGTAGTTTCATATTTATAGTACTTTACACACTAGCCACTCCTCGGAAGAAAGATTGTGAAATCTACTTCTGTAGTGATACTGCCCTCGAAACCCAAGGAGGGGTCATTCTGAGTCACTCGACAGCAGTGAGTTTGTTTTTTTTATTTTCAAAATGGTAATATTAAAATAATTTCTTTTAAATTAGCATACTAAATGACAATCTTCAGTGACATGAAAATAGGTTGTATTTGGTAGAAATCATATGGTAAGTGTTAAATATTAAAAGACTAGTTCTTGATGAACCACTTTCTTTATGGTGTCTTAAGAGTCTTTTATATTTCTTTCTCAGACCTGTATTTTGAAAGTCACATCTTAGGTAATTATGAATCATAAACATTTTTATTTTGCAAGCTTCAGTATGATGCAGTTTTTCAGCTTGTTTTTTCAAAACGTGGTTTTAATATACTAATCATGAACTTTTGTATTAGAATATATCTTTTTAAATGTTTTAATTTTCAGTCATTTTGGGAGACTTAAAGTTCAGTAAGTTAACAGCATTGTCACCATCTCATTCCAAATGATTTTTGTCAGAAGACTCATCACTGTATTCTAACACTTTGACCTTTATAAGTGAGACTTTATAAGATCAGCATCTTAACAAAATAAACAAAAGCTTTGGGTAGAAACAGAGCATTTTGGTCAACTGAGTGTCATTATATTGGCAGATTTCATTTTTATTGGAGTTAATATATTTTTGATCTTTTACCTTTTACCTAACTTCTGAGGAGTAACAGTTTACTTCAAATAACTAATTTCATACTTTTTTGAGTGTTTTTATATTTATTGAAATAATTTTTTAATAAAAATATTTTCTTATTTTTGTATTTATCTTTGTCACTGTGTACACTGTAAGTACTCATTTTAAATGATCAAGAAAATCCTGTTGATTATTTTAAAACTCCCGAGGATCATACAGGGAGAGGCTTCTGACTTCATCTCACATAGAAGACCTGGACTATGGAATTCTGCATGTGTTCTAGTCAGCGTTAGGTACTTTTTTTTTTTTTTTTCCAGTTTTTGAGCATTTTTTATTTTTGCAAAATGTTTGGGCAGAAGTTTTTATTTGTTTTACCCTTAGTAAAGAATATATCTTACTGAATTTCTTTAGTAGGTTTCATTTGGTTTTCATACTGAAATCTGAGTTGGATAACATTGTTGACTCCTTATATTTTGTTCATTTTTAGAAAACTTGTTCTTACATGTCAAGGTGTTCGCAGTCAAAAAACAAATTATGTAAAAGAAACTTAAAGAATAAGCATTTAATCTGTTTTAGATTGTGGAGTATATGACTAGAATTTTACTTATCAGTAGTTTGACTTCATACAAAATCTAACTATGGTTGGCTTGTATGGTTTCAGAATAAGAATCAACAAATGGTGATATTTATATCAGCATATGTTATGTCTCTTATTATTTTATGTGTCTAGTAGGATATATAAGGAGCTCTGGTGGTCTAGTGCAAAGGCATTTGACTGCTAACCAGAAGGTTGGTAGTTCAAACCCACCAGCCACTCTGTGGAAGGAAGACTGGGCAATCTTCCATAGATTTACAGCTTCAGAAACCCAAAGAGGGTCACTATGAGTCAGAATTGACTTGATGGCAGTGAGTTTGGTTTTTGGTTTGGTGGTAGGATATGTGCTTTCTATAATATATTTATTTATTTATGGGGATAAAAAATGTTGACGAGTACCCATAATACTGATTTTTTTTTTTTTTTTTTTTTGGCGGCATCCTGATTCTACATCAACTTTCCAAAATACT